GTATGTTTAAAAAGGGAATATAAGCTTTAAGAAGATAATTGAATAAATTTCATCCATTCTCTCTCTCAGAGAAGAACAAGAGAGAGTGTCTTATGGATTGGAAAAGAAACTAACCTACTTTAGCAAAATATTAGATAATAATATTAAAAAAGAAAATAATGAAATAGATACAATATATACAAAACCAGTATCGACTATCACATCACCAGCAGGGACTCGGGAAGTCTCAGACTGGACTTGGCAACGGACAGGAGCTTAATTCCAGATCTGGATTCGGGAATGTACAGATCGGGATCAAAGGCAGAGAACAGACAGTCCTCCTGGAGCTTTGGCCACTGAAGCAAGAGGCTGACCCCTTTGATCCCTCAGCTTTTACACTGAGCCTGAGGCAGATGGGATGGAATACCCTGTTGGTCGGTTTTGGGTCACCTGTCCTGTCCGCTCCTCCCCGCAGGTGTGACCCCATGATGCTCTTCTGCTTCTGACCCTCCAACTTGGTACATAACAAAGTTAGCTGGCCTTGGGTGCTGTGGCAACAAGTATAAGCAAGAGCCTCTCTTCGCGCTGTTCCTTAGTATTCGCTATAAACATCAGATGTTATCACTCTGGTAGCAGACACTGTCTGAAAAAACACATCATTAATTTCAGAAAGTGCAGTTAGTTAGAAGAGGCTTAACAGAAAAGTAAAATTACTGACAAGAAAACCGATTCTGTTCTACCTCAAACCAGGACAGCTATTTAGTCACAAGCCACTGCAAAAAAAAGGTGAATGGAAGTGCCAGTTACATGCATCAGAGTTTTATTTACACTGTTTTGGCCACTGTTCAGCGGACTCTGAGTAGAGTCACAAACTGCAGAAGCATGACTTCTCATTCCCTCCTTGGGATCAGAAACAAGCAGTTGTCTTGATTTTTCATGGCATGTGCAAAGCCAGAAGATACAGTAAATTGCAAAGCAAGTGGAAATCATTTTCCCCATAGAGAGTCCATATTCATAGATGGAAGAGTAACTGTGCATTGTATTCTCACCACTACAACCCCAGGTCTACAAGACCAGGTTATAATTGTATGAGATGCACAGGACAGACATGGGATCTCTTGAACAAATGAAAACCTCTAAGAAGAAACAAGAGCTGGTGATTTACAGCAGGGCAGAAAAGGTATCAGCTAGCATTCCAAAACCAACCCATTCATGCTTTGGAAAAGCCACCTGAGAAAACAGAAGAGAGCATTCCATGAAGACGTTTTTTAAACACAAATACATCTATCAGCCCTGCCTGGAGGAAAGAAAAAAAAAAAAAAAGGGCAAACAAACAAAAATATTAGGTTCCAGACAATTATATTCTCTAGGAATTGGAAACTAATAAGTTTCTTGTATTTAGGGAATGATTTACAGCTCTCATATTTTTCCATCCTTAACTTCACAATTAGCAAAACAATTATGTCCTGGACACATGCACAGAACTAAGGCAACAAAAGAAGCTGCAAAATGATTACTGGAACATCTTTTTAGAAGCTGCTTTTGTTCTTCATCATTGTTAAAGGAGAAGCCTTTAACACAGGAAGCACACTAGAAGCACACACTATTCAAGGAATCACACACACACCACCTGAGTCTTTAACTGCTGGGACCAGGGTCCCTTTGCAGCGGTGACTCCAGTGAGCCAACGGGTCCCCCTTTCCACCCCTCACACACACACTCACTCACTCTCAGGTGTGCTCCCTCATCCTTCAGGCTCCACCATAGGTTTCCCACAGCAGAGTCTCAGGCTTCAGATTTTATAAAAATAAGTAATTTAATCAAAAGGTACAGCAGCAAGAGCAGCCAGTGCTGGGTGCCTCCTGGGCAATTATACCCTTGTGATCTCTACACCCACCCCTCACCCACTCTTCACACCTCTTTTAGTCCAATGGTGATTTTTAGTCTGGGGTCTTCCAACACGTTATTGGATTCTTTTTCTGTGTCTAGGCAGGCTGGCTGCTGATTGCTCTTATCTTGTTTATTTGCAGTCTCTGCTGATGGTCATTGCCTCCTTATCTTCTGGTTTATGCTTCTTGTGTGCCTGTGCTCGCTGGCAGAACATGGGGAACTGAAAAGTTCCCAGACTTGGGGAAAACACTACCAAAGCATCCCTGTGTTAACAACATTTTTCTTCTGCTAAAAGACTAAACACAGCACTGTACCAGCTGCTAGAAAAATTACTAAGAAAATTGACTGCATCACGGCCTAAACACTTCAGCAAATCAAGCCACTCATGCTAAGTAAAGCTAGGCAAACAGCGTAAGTCACACCGTATTATAAACCTAAGTAATTTATTTAATTAAAACTTACTTGTTTAAGCTAAACAACTAATATCTCTCAACAGTCTTTTCCTGAAATAGGGAAAAAAAAAAAAACCCAAACAAAACTACAGCAATCTCGTGTTCAGTGTTTCGTTTGTCATAAGCTTGTCTCCTATGTGAGTCTCTAAATTTCTCTAAGAAGCTTCAACGGCAGACGCTGATTACAGACACTATCTTCTTCTGAGACTTCAAGGTATCAACCATCGGTAATTTAGACACATGACACACCCTAAATGTCTGCACCTCTCAGAGGTTTACCTGCTCATTGATTTGAATTTGAAAAACATTAAGAAGCCCATTGCATACAAGATCTAGGAGATTCTTGCAAACATGAATCCAGCCTCACTTGAATGCTTGTATGGGTTCCATAATTCTAAATCTGTCAGAAAAAGCATGTACCTTTAAGAAAGCCAAATATTTGATTTACAGATGAAGAACTGTGAGCACCAAAATCCAATGGAGAACAATAAAGGTATTTCATATGCACAATCATACCCAGGGATATTTTTAAGCATAAAAAGTTACCCCAAATAACTAAACACATTGTAGTATTCATTAAAAATGAGCAACTGACAGAGGGCTCCATATTCTCTTCAGTGCTTACAGTGACTAGTACTGTCAAGTGACTAAAAGCAAACCTACTCCTCTATGACAGGAGTGTATTTTTGTTTTGTTATTAAAAATAGTGAACCTTTCTGGCACAGCATAGCCAAGGGCAATTTATAAATTAAATGCTAAAAGCTCTCAGTGCCACATTCAAGCTTTGATTAAACTAACTGCTATGGTTTATATTTTTCACTTGCATTAACTTTAATTATGTGCAACTCCAATGCAGCAAACACCATTAAAGCCAACCAAGTTGTTTTAGATTTAATCCCAACTTAAATGCCACAACTCCAGCATATGAGAATTGGCAAAGGAATTCTTATTAGGTCGCTTACTCAGGAGATGAGAGCAAAAATCTTGTAATTAGAGTGTAGAGTTTAACACTCTACTTGTTCAAATGTGAATACAAAGCAACCAAGCTAAAGCTATTACAGTATTCACAATTCATATACAATCTTTCACAATGCTGAAGTGACTTCTTTTGTAATCGTATTTTGCTTAATAAAAGACGAGGTCCATCTGTAACATTAAGTCTAGCTGTGGAAGTATACACTTCCTTGCAGCACCAGCAGTAGGAACAATAATATGGTTGAATCCCTCTCCAGTTCTGCGATTGTTTGGTCCCAAACAATTTTCTGCAAGGTTGTTTACCCATTTGTCTTCGCTGCAGTAGCGCTGGAACTACATTAGTTACAGAACACAGCAAAATTGTTGCAGCTCTATAAAACACGCAGTGATCTTGCTAGAGTAAGCATGATTTTTGAGAGCTTGTGCTTCATTTTAGGAGTTTGTCTCCTGTAAGCTGTTCTGCTGACCGGCCGAGATGATTAACACGCGTGGAAAAAGAAGGCAGAGTGATTCTATTTCAGGCTTATTCCTGTTAAAAGCTTGTTTTGTTCATACAGCTAGGCCTTGCTTCTTAAGTGCTACTGCATGAAAGCCTCCCGCTGTGTAGCTATGAATAATAACAGAACATCTGGAAAAAAAACACCACCAAACCACTGTCCCTTGCAGGTCAGACACCTGAGCATGACTTTGGCACAAAAAAAAACTGAGGAGAAGAAACAATCACACCAACTGATATACTTTTAGGTTTAAGAGGTGCTTGATCCATACATTCCTTACAACACTTGATTCATTTCTGTGGCACTAACCAACTTGCAATGAACAAATTCGTGCTTTTGTGCTAATTCAATCAGAACTTCATACATGAGATTGCAACTTCAGCCAATGAAGTTGAGCTACTCACTGCAGCAGACAGAATATTACCTAAAAAGTACGTTCTCCTACATTTATCAGTCACATAAGACATAATTTAATAATGCCCTATAATGTGCCAAATCCAAAGCGTCACTTTAAGAGTGTGAAGAGGTTTCAATTTTTGCTGAAGCATGTAAAAGTACATAAACAAGGGAAGTTATCTGAACCCTGAAAAAAGAGTTTTTAGAGTTAAAAATCACAAAGTGAACAAGCAAAGCATAATCTTGAAGATGTGAAATTAATTTTTTAAGTTTGGAACATTTCTACCTATTCTGACAAATATCTGGAGTTCAACTACAGTTTTTAGTTTTGTAGCAACTTTTGAAAGTCATCAGCACAGAGGCATATGTAAAACCAAACCATGTAAGACTGAGCATAATGAAAAGAGAGTCTTACTAGCAACTTCTGCCAGGCATGTTATGTACCATTTAACAAAGCTAGTGCCATTCGTTAACTTTCCATTTGCAGGACAAGAAGAAAGATCCAGCCTCATTGTTGCTCTCAGTTGCGCAAACAGATGTAAATAGCTCTGTGTGGATTAGACAGATGCTGCATCCAGGTACAGGGCTAGCGTTCAGGTTCACAGCCATCTGCATAGTGCCATATTTTCAGATAAGAACGGGTCATTATTAAGCATTACCTTCATTCGAAACTAATTGTGCGAGATTTTGACTCTGAGCCTAATTACTTCCTAATATCTTCCTCGGCAGTCTACATACTTTGATTACAGTAAGCATCATTTGGCAGTGAAATAATTCACAAAGGGAAGAGAAAGAGAAAGGTGGCACTTACTGTGTTGCATTTTGTCCCACACACCACTTGTCGGTGGTTCAGCCACTGGGAGGCAAACACTTTATTGAGGGTTCCGAGGTGAAATTCTCTCTCCTTCAGGAGGCTGGGAAGCTGCTGGGCTGCGTACCCGTGCAACAAGCGGTGATAGCTGGACTCATTCTGCATCCTGACCTCTCTACCTTTCAGGTAGTACACCAGGGACCTTTTCACCGGGGGGAGTCTTTTCCTTTTGTGAACTGAGTGATCCCACCCATACTGTGAAAAATAAGCACGGAAATCAGATACAGCAAGGAGAACAAACTTCTGTACCCACCCTTCTACACTCGAAGACGTTCCCAGCAAAATACTGAAGTTTTCCAAACTACCCATGGGATACCATATGCGAAGATTAACGCGGAAATGCTGACACAGCCTTCGGCAACATAAAGTTAAACACAAATATGTGCTGAAGAAGTAACACTGCGATGATATTAAAACCACCCCACCCCAGCTGGGAACGTTGAGG